TATTTATTAAAGATTTCTTGAAAATGATTAACAATTTCTTGTTATTCAACTTACTTTTTTGTATTCTTCCATAGGAAAGGCCCAATAAGAATACAGTCAAGTAGAGGATTAGTCGCATATGCCCTGAAAGAGAAACCTAGTCATATAAAGAACTGGCGAAATTATTGTTTTTGTCGAGGAAGCTATTGAGATTTGACCGTAAGCATGAAGACCTTAACTGACTAAAGTAAAATTACTAGGAATGACCTTCAATGCTCCGTTCTATGGGTACGTTGTCAACTAGCGAGGTCAAGCATACAAAAGCATCTACGCGGCTATTCGTCTGCGACCTTCGGGCTTGTGAACTTTGGGGCAAAAAGAGAAGCAGAAGCTATAGTTTCAAGGCCAACAAACACTGGAGTAATTATGGAACATGCTATGTAAAAGCATAGACTGCGCTTTCGCACCTTTCTTTCTTACGAGCTTTTTGGATCATGCATTCTTCAATGAATCATGCAAGGAGACAGAAGAAAAAGACTTTTTGAAGTTGTTTTGAGATCTAATGGTGTGGGTACACTTATGCCCTAAAGCTAACACCTCTTTTTCTTGATTTGAATGGCTCAACTCGGCAGGTCAAAGGATAATGATGAGCAAAAATTAGATATAATATAGGTGACATATGTTATGCTCATAATGTTTTATATATCTACTGACGCACAAACCGGTTAATTGAAGTAACCCTTATGATTGCTAATGGATATGGTTCGTGACTGTAAGGCGACTTTGACATCAGTGTTCCAAGAATCACTTTGAAAGAGAGATTTACTTTTGGCACAACACAAACGACCGCGACTACGTTTATGTATGAACATTGAGCATCTCTTATATCATATAATTGCTTTTGTTCGTTCTTTAACTGACAAAAAAGGAAGTACTGTATTCTTGCGCGAATACCCAATTGAAATTTTGCAAAAAACCGAAGTACACCAATTTGCAATACTCAAATTAATCGAGTATCACTTTTGAAAAA